AGTAATAACAATAATAGCAAATAATCATAGCAATAATACCATTAAAAAGGAGAATCAAAGCCAAACTCCAAGCTCTAAACACCAGAAACTCTCCCAGCTGCCAGACCTGACCCCTGAGGCCCTTCCGCTGTTTTCGGCCGCTGGATGGCGAAACAGCCAGAGCTCTGCTTAAAGGATCCCGGGACTAGGTACGAAGTGTAGTCAGTAAGGTAACTCATAGTTGTGGAAGTGATGAGAAAACATAAATATATATATATATTATGTGTGTGTGCACAGACACATACACTTACAACTTCAATTAAGGCACTTATACAACCCTACTTCCTTGATCAGTCCCCTGAACCTCTGAGTTTCCGCAAGCAAAAGTCTCACTCATGAGACCCTTTTGGATCCAGTACAGACCCTGAGTAGTAGGACTCGTGGTAAAAGGAGCCACCAACATGAGGTAAACCTTAGCGCTTACGCCCTGCCTCTGGTGATTGCATCATAACGGCCAGGAGAAAAGGGAAGTCGGGAACGTGGCTTCTCCACCTGAGGGTCCGCGATCCCCAAACCCTGACAATCGATCTCTGAACCCTAACCCCGAAACTACCCAGGACCCCCCAAGCACCCTTTCATAGAGGTTTCACGATCTTTTGATAGTGGGTATTCAGGGTATATCAGAGAGTCGGGGGGTTCCGGACAAACTGAACCCTAAGCCCTAAACATAAAAGCTCAACTGACCCCCAACACCCTCAAACTGAACCCTGAACCCTAGATTCCCAAACGTTATATCCTCCCACCTCCTGGGCCAATTCTGGAACCTCTAAGCGGAAGATACCCCCCGGCAGCTGCTGCAGTCGAACTCCTTAGATTGAGGGTTTAGGGTTGGGGGTTCATCTCAGGCTGAAGTTTAGGGCTTGGTAAAAGGTTCATAGTTGCGGGGGCATGGGGCTTAAGTAGCTATAAGGCTCATTTAGAAGTTTTTTTTTGTTTTTTTTAGTGGGAGGGGGGGGGGGGTAAAAATGCAGGTTCCTGTATGTAGGGTTCGGGCTTCCTAGTGTTGGAAGGCACAGGAGACTGATGGTACTATGGTTACCTACATTATCTTGGGGGTTCATTATTATAAATATAGTATAAAGGGCCCCAACACCCTAGTCTAATTATTAAGGCCCTTGCGTTAATACAGTCGACTGTTGGACTGCTGAGACACGTTGGTGGAAGCTGAGAAAAGCCTTCGGGCTAGGCACCGCGGTCACATACTCCCCGCTTTCGAGCTGCACTCGTGGCCTTTGGCTGTCCCCCGCCTCAAAGCCCACAATACGCCCCTCGAAGATGCCTCGGTAAGAAAAGCAGCACCTGCTAAGCAGGAAGGTGGTGGGAACGGCGGATCGCAGAGGAATAACATGAAGACATTAAGTTATAGTATGAGTACGTATGAGTTACGACTACATTCCTCAGGCCGGTGCCCGCATTGCTTGCTGTACTTGCAGCAGCTCCGTGGTTGCGCCAGCCGTTTCGGAGAGCCCCCTGAAGGGGTGCTCTGACATACATGAGGAGCGGCTCCCTAAACCCTGAAGTCGTAAGACCGTACTATACCTTGCTCTTCATCGCAAGGCATCACCACTAACCTTAGGCCGTATACCGTAAGACCTTACTAGAAGTAGAACCTCGCCAAACCATCTTAATTTCCGCCCTCCGCCTGCGTGGGAACAGCTCTGACGGACAGCCTTCTTGCCATAAAGATCCGCGGAGGCAGGGATGCCATGGCACTTCTTGGACGACTTGTCTAGCTTCCCCCGCTTCCCCACTACACTTAAGTTAACCTTCGGAGCTATACTGGAGTCCATGATGTGGACCCTAATATAGTACCCTAAAAAGTAGGATCAATATTATAAGGACCCCCAAAAAAGGCACCCTAATTTTCGAAAACCCCCATGTGTTTTTGCATGTGTCATGCCAACATTTCTAGCAGTGGCTGCTCTAAACTTTAATGTTGCTGGGTGTAGACTCCTTGGAGCTCAGGGTGTAGGCTGTGCACCGTAGAGTTTGCCGTTTAATTTATAGTGGTGTAGAATAGAGCTACTGACTACCACATTACCGTGCTTTCAGGGGCTCTTGCAAAGCGCTGAACCACGAAAAGAGGACAACCGTCCGATGCCGGCAAATTAAGAATCCAGCCAAAACCAGGCGCATACACAAACATGCTCACACAAATTAAGATATTGATGGCCATGGTATCATACAGTTTGCAACCCGTAAGCAACATATTTATTCGAATAGTGGCGGCAGCGGCACTAGCAACCATTTGACAACGGTCAGTCGTGTAAAAACGTCGTGACACACTGTACTATACACTATTCTTGATATATATATATATACATAGATATACTTATACTTTTATTTGTTTATTTATTTATTTATGATATGGGCCCCTGCGCCTCCGGTGCATCCCAAGGCGTTTTCGGCCGCGGGGTGCTCCAGGGGTCGCGGGGCGCTGGCCGCACAGTGGGGCCTTGGCCGTCGGTGCCAGCTGTCGGTCACGGGCCCGTGTCAATCTTGCAGTCGTCTGTTATGGCAACTACTGACATCGCTGTTGCTATGACTCCACCTCCCATGCGCCCGCCGTACTCCTAATTACTCCACAGAGTGCTTCAAGACTGGGAATGCAAACTGTGATTCAAGGCTTCGAGCTGTCCCGACAAGCCGGAAGCCCAGTACAATGTGCACCAAAGTAGAAGACAAAGGCAAGACCCGCCCCCGCTAAGGGGAATGTTCTGCGCCTGGGCCACGGCCCTGTTGTAAACCGGTAGTGCTGGCAAGCAAACCTTGCGTGGAAGCGTATGTGTATGTATGTATGTATGTATGTATGTATGCATGCATGCATGCATGTGTATGTATGTATGTGTGTGTATGTATGTATGTATGTATGTATGTATGTATGTATGTATGTATGTATGTATGTATATATGTATTTATAGAGCAAAGTATGGTATAATTTAACATTGTTACACACCCCCCCCCCCCCCACACCCTGCAAGGTCCTCTGACACCTTGACGAAACCCCGGCCACAGGCCCATTATAGAAGAGAACGGAGAAACACCAACCCCTAAACCCTACACCAAAAAATCTCGGTGCCGCGCTTGGCGCCGACGGCTGCGGCCACAGGTCAGCAGGATCCTGTCGCAAAAGGCATCGAAGTGCAGCTAGCTAGCCCTTATGGAGATTTAGGGTTTATGGTTTTCCAAGAGAGTCTGCAATACGGGGCATATTAGGGTTTATGGTTTTCCCTTGGGGTCTGCAACATGGGGCACATAGGATTTACTTGCTGAGGGTTGGGGGTCGGGGTGCAGCTGTTCTGAAGGTAAACCCCTGAGCCGTAGATCCAGCGTTTGGGTCTGCCCAGCCGGCCTCGAAACTGGCCACTTAAATGCTAAGCCCTAAACCCTAAACCCATAAATGCCACAAGTGCCATAAATGCCTAAACCCTAAACCCTAAACCCATAAATCCCATACATGGTCACCCATGTGGTCCATTTATGGGTTCAGGGTTTGGCCCCTCATGCTCGGGCTCCTGACAATTGACATACACCCCCTCGGTTTAGGGTTTAGGGTTTTTTTTTTATGAGGGTTGCCTGCTTTCTGGGGCGCCGTACTTAAGGGCCTTATCACAAAGTCAATGAAGATCCTGTAGGCTGGATATTAGGGCCCCCCTCGTTCTGAAACACCCGAAGTAGCTGCTCCTTTAGCCCTCATGGGGTCCTTTTGAACGGATGCCCAAATACCCCCTGACCCCAGGCTCGATTCCACTGTGCAACCGGTCCCCGTAACCTAAAGCCCGAAGCACCTCTGACTCACGGACTCTACACCCCAAAGCCCCAAGAACTCATAGATCCTCAGGCCCCAAATGCAAGTACAAGACTTCAATTCAAGGGCTTAGGGTTTAGGGAAGCCCTTGAAAGGGAACCGAGCAAGGGTCCGTAACGACTCGAGCCCGAGATCGGGAAGGGCTCGGTGCCTGGCGGCAGGTCGGGGGGGAATTTGCGACCTTGTTCTGCCTAAGAAGGTTGCGAGGTCGGTTTGGAGGCAAGAAGTCCGGAGGCGAGAACTGCCCATGACTGGGCTCTTGTTAAGGGATTTAGTTTAAGTTACAAAAACAAGAAGACCATATTATTCATTATAGATCCGTAGTGTAGCAACTTAAATTAAATCCCTTAACAAGAACCCAGATAAGCGAGGGTCGAGGCGAGGGTGGCAAGAAAAGGCAGCGGAACAGCGCGAAGTATTCCCGGCTCCAGGATCGCGTCCGTACCTTCTGATGTCTGCAATAATCTTCATCAGCCGCTTATCCCAATGAATTTTAGCCCCAGGCTTGGACCCCCCGAACCCGACATCTCGAAACCTTCGGCCCCAGAAACATCTCCACTGATAGACTCAAATAGGAGTCTCCGCCTTTCCAGCAGGCGCTAAGCCCAAATTTACCCCTAACGCGAAATCACGCACCACCAAACTCCAAAACGTTGTAAGCGGTCAAGCCTGACCCCGACTCGAAACACCTGTCGAAGCGATGAAAGGCGGTCCGAAACTGTCAAAGACGTCAGTTGCGAGGCACCAGGGACAAAAGACGAATTCGCATTATTCTTATCATCGTTACTACTACTGATACTACTACTACTACTACTACTACTACTACTACTACTTCTACTACTACTACTACTACTGCTACTACTACTACTACTACTACTACTATCATTATCATTATTCCTATTATCATCCTTATGCTACTATTATTCTATTCTTAGTATGATTATTATTGTTGGGATTCAGACTTTCATGTCTGGTGCTCGAGGGCACTGGCATCGAATTAACTGGCACTGCCATGGTGTGCTTGTGACCATGCTTCTAAGTGCCTTTGAACAAACAAGCCTCTTAAAACCCATGGAAGATGGCAGGCGAAGCAAAGAAAGAGTTGCTTCTGCTTGCGGTATACTGCTTGCTTGCTTCCTACCCTCTAGCGACTCTAGCGCTCGCTTTCTGGAAAATCCGCTGGTCCTGATGCCTTCATAAGACGGGTGCAGTCCTCGAGGTCCCACTCCCAACTTGGGGCATCCCAGATGTCTCGTATGAACTGCTTCTCCTGAAGCGTGGCTCTTGAAAGAGCATCGACAGCGTTTTCGCTCTGTTGCCTCATCCAGTGACCTGCCTTGACAATACAGCCCACGCCACAGTCGATCGCTTTGTCGTTTCCATAGTCCTTCATGGCACTGCCAAGATCAGCCGACGGAGATGCGGGCGAGGGAAGCATGACACACATCAGTCCGATGATAGCCAGGCTCAGGAGTGGTCGGCGGGACATCTTGCGCAGTGAGGTGCAGCGGGTGCACTGCTAGTTGGGCAACTGAGCCGAAAATCGGCTCAGAATCACAGGCCATCTTTCTGCAGCCTAGCACCCTGAACCATCCTAAACCCTAAACCCTAAACCATCCTAAACCCCAAACCCTAAAGAGTATAATATAAGATTTTTAGCGGAACAGCTTCTTTGCAAATGGCCGCAGCTCTGCAGTCTTCCCGCCGGCACCTCCCAATTCGGTACGCCCGGCGCTTGGGGCCACGCCGGCCAGGAAACACCTGCGTGCTGTGTTCGTATAGGCTTAGGAGTTGGGCTTAGGGGGACCCTTGAGGATCTAGACCCTCTCAATAAGGTCCCTTTTAAGAGAGCCAAAAGTAAGGTTAAGAAGGGTCTCCCTTTCAGGGGTCTCCCTGATACTACTATCAGGAATAGGGGCCCTTAATAATTCGAGCATAATTCGAGCAGGGTTCCTTTACAGGGTTCCTTCAAGGGATGAGATAAGGGTAGTATAAGGGTTTAGTAGAGGGGCCTTGACAGTCGGAGTAGGGCAATACAGGGGCCTTTGTGAATAGAATAGGATAACATTGGGGGCCTTGATAAATAGAGTAGGGTTTTGGGGGTATATTGTACTATTAGTACAAGGGTAGTAAGGAACCCAAAAATGGTATGGAAATTATTGAGGCCCCCACATTAGAAACATGAACACAACTTTGGCACTCGAGCAGAGGTAAAAGTCAGTACGCTTTGAGAAGCGTACAATCCTTGTTGTTGGCTTCTCCGTGCAGGAAAGATCTAGACACGAGGATGCAATCTTAGTCTGCAGGAATACGGCCGAATACTGGAACATCATTGGCCCAGACCCGTGGTAGAGCAAGCAAGTCAGGTAGCAAAGAGTCGTACTAATAAGGTGCCCGAGTAAGACCCTGTTTCTCGGATGCCATGTTCCGCGCTTCCGAATTTTTGTCATGCATGCCAACTGCAAGCAGCCTCAGCCCTAACCCTAAATCTGAGGCCCGGAACTTAGGCCCGGAGCACGGAGCCGCTTCAGCGCCATGGAAAATCCCATCCCTGAAATCTCCGAAGCTCGGGGCGAGATGGCCTGAAACCCATCAAGCCAAAAGCCACTTCACACTTTAGGGTTTAGGGTTGAGGGCTTAGGGTTTAGCCGAACCCGGAACGTCTAAAGGTCCCTTCCGGCAGGTTCAAGGAACACAGAAAGGGCCAGTCAGTTGCAATGTGTAAGTGTAGGCGCTTAGGGTCTCGGGCTTTAGGAACCTGCGGTGAGGGTTTAGGGTTGTAGGAGGCCTGGTGTAGGGTCTAGGGTTTAGGGCTTTCTCGACGCAGTACCTCGAAGACCCCAAGTGGGAAGGAGCCCCAAACCTTCAACCGCCAACAGTTCAATTCATTGTTCCTGTTCCGATTCTTGTTGGCTCGCCCATAGGCTCCTTCGCAGTTCCTCTTTGTGGTCTATATTGAGGATAATCCCCCAAAAGGAACTACAATGGAGCCTATGGGTTTAGGGTTTATAGGTTTAGGGTTCAGGGTTTAGGGTTTAGGTGGTTACACAGCAGGCTGCCTTCAGGTTCAGTGGTCTCGGGCTTCAGGTAGGTGCGCTACACTGTGGACATCTCTGAAGCAACATTCGCAACCCTAAATCCCAAAACCCTAAACCTTAAATCCCTAAACCCTATAAACCCTACATCTATAAACCCCAAATCCCAAAAACCCAGACCCTTACCCAAACCCTGGACCCCCAAAGTTTTCAGCGCCCAGCAAAGCCTCTGTTGCTCAGCCCATCGGCCGCGGCTGTTGAGTTCTGGCCCGCCGCTGGGGCCTCTGAGGCCGAGTTGTCCCTGATCTTAAGCGTTTGAGGGTTTAGGGTTTAGGGAGGCTTGAGGGCTTTATTTATGGGTTCCCCCCCCCCCTATCCCGAAACAAAACACCAAGGCCTCCTCCACCTTTGCTGCTAAGCCCTCGCTGGGCGTCGCCGGCTCGGCTGCTGCGGAGCCGAAGGCCGGGTCGCTGCGTAAGGTCTGCTCCAAGGCCAGCCTGAGGATTTCTAGGGCTCAGGGTTTAGGGTTTAGGGGTTGTGTGGTTGACGGTGGGACAAAATAAGGCTGGAGAAGATGATAAGGCTTCGATAATTCGGCTTTTCTGTAATGTCAAGCTGGTTCCAGAAGGGTTCTGAAGTGCTCTAGGATAAGGGTCCCATGAGGATCCTCAAGAAGGGTTTAATGAAGGTTCTACAATGGTTTGCTAAGGCCCCTAGGAGCATCCTAGATTAGTCTCTTTTTTTTAAAGGATGCAAGGGCTCCATCAGGGTGTTCGAGGTGTTGCGCTCGCTCTGGGCATGTAGTTTGCTATTTAGGTCTCGAAGGCTTGGGGGTTTGTAGGGCTAGGGCTTGTGGGGTTCGGCTTTGGGGGCTTGGGGTTTAGGGTTCTCTCCTTCTCTTTTGGGTACGAAGCAAACTCAAAGTACCTTGGAAGAACCGATGCCCGCTCCAAACTACCAGGACAAAAGCACTTCAGCCTTTGATCCACTGAACCCCGAACCCCCTCGGAAAGCCCTTTTGAACCCAAAGAATCCTAATAAGAACCCCCCCAATGCCTGTTCGAACCCGGAGTTCCCCCCCTTCAAAAACACAACGAGAAGTGCTTTAAATCACGCCGACAAAGCCATGACTCCGAAGAAACCGTAAAGCAGACACATCAAAGCCCTCCAAACCCGGTGAATACCACCGGGATACGTCGATGTCTTGAAGCCCTCAGATCCCGAAGCCCTGAAGAGGCCACGTGTTGAGACCCTTTAAAAACCCTAAAACCCCTAAACCC